ACTATTCCAATCACCAGAAACGAACTTATGCTCTGATACCAATGATAGATACCAGAATCGAAGGAGGGAAATGGTTGTTTATTATGAACGTAATTGATGAACAGGAATGAAACGATACAGGTTTAGGCACTTCGAGCAGCCTATCTCTCCCAGAATTCCCAGTCCAAGTCTAAAATTCTGCCTACCACTTTCCTCCCTTCCTTCTATCTCTTATAGTACTCTATTCTAACGGGCCAGCCCGTATTATATGACATGGCCCAAAATACTTATTTATACAATACCAAACTTATTCAATATCAATCTATCACTATTATTATCATTATTCTCTACAGCCGAGGGCCCTATCAGAATGCCAAGGAGTTAGAGAACTTCCTGTGGGACATGGAAGAATACTTTAAGGGGGCCAAGATTCCCGAAGAGGAGAAAGTGACAATTGATCCTATATATCTGGCCGAGGATGCCAAGCTATGGCGGCGTGGTAAAATGGCAGATGATGTTGCTTCAAGAAGGCTAGGTATTGAGTTATGGAATGGACTCAAGAAGGAATTGAAGGTTCAATTCCTTCCTCACAATGTTTCCTGGAGGCTTGGGAGGCATTGAAGAAATTGGAGCATGGTAGGTCTATAAGGGAGTATGTTAAAGAGTTTTCGTCTCTCATGCTCGATTCTCAAAATATGAGCAATGAGGACAAACTCATCAGCTTCATGTCGGGTTTGCAACCTGGGCGCAGACAGAGTTAAGAAGATTGGCTTTGCAGGACTTACCCATGGCCATGGCAGAGGCAGAAAGCCTTGTTAACTTCAAGGAAACGGCCCCTCAAAGGAAGAAAGGGCGACCCAAGCAAGGACAGTAGCTGAAAATCCAAGGCCGGTGGAAAGGACGAATCAAAGAAAGGGGGGATAAAGTACCCTTCTGAAGAGGAAAGAAAAACAAAGTGTGGTCAGGGTCATTAGACTTGTGGTGGTGACCACTTCGAACGTGATTGTCCCAAGGCCCCTAAGATCAATCCTATGGTTGAGGGAGAGACCCAAGACAATGTGACTGGACAAGCGCATTGTCCCAAGGTCCCTAAGATCAATCCTATGGTTGAGGGAGAGACCCAAGACAATGTGACTGGACAAGCGCATTGTAGCCCTTTGCAACTATTGACGGCAATGAATGAGAAACCTCAGGCGGGTTGTGAATCGAGGTTGGATGTACGTGGAGGTAATGATCAATTGATGTTAACACAAATGCAAGTTATAACTTTGTGGCGGAATGGCTTATTTATAAACGATGAAGAAAGTCATGGCTTTGTTAAAGGCATGTATGCCGAACAAGGAAAGGGTGGTGAGGGTTAGTCTCATGTTCAGCTATGCAAATCGAAAGTGGCATGAAGCGCGGTTACGAGACTTACCATGCTGTAATACTGGAAATCCAGGAAAGGGTTACCAAGATGTCTTGAAGAAAGTGCTAATTTACTTGAAGAGATCAAGGATGTGATGCCACCAGAGATGCCCAAGATATTGCCACCAATGCGGGCAGTGGATCACACGATTGAGTTGGAGCCCGGAGTACAGCCTTTGTGGAGGAGAGGATCAACACTTATGTGAACAGGTGGAAAGTGGTGTCGTGAGACGATATTGGTTGGAAGATGGTGTACCTTTGGTAAAGGAGGACAATTATATGTCCATGTTGACGAACATCGTGTGGAGCTCTTGAGAGAGTCATGAGTCATGACCTACCGTGGACAAGTCATCCCGGACGGATAGACATAGAGAATGAATGCACTACTTGAGCAATACTTAAGGCATTACGTCACGGCAAGTCACAGAATTGGCTTGAGTTGCTAGATAATAGATATGGCACAGATCCCAACCCTTTGAGCCTGGAATGACTCCATTTGAGTTGGCAATCAGATTCCAATCCTTTGCGCCTCATCAAATGATGACAAAGGCGGGAGTTCGGGACTGTGGAAGAGCACAGTGTCCAGTGGCAGCACGATTTGCAAGGGACAAGCATAAGCTGATTGAGGATGCCCGAGATAGTCTTGCATTGGCCCAAACAAGAATGAAGAAGCAAGTTGACCAAAGGAGACGCGATGTTCAGTTTCAAGTTTGAGACTTGGTGATGTTGAAATTGACTACAAAGATTTGGAAGAAGATTAGCACCAAATCTATTCACCGTGACTTAAACCTGAAGTATGATAATCCCTTAGAAGTCAAGCACAAAGTAGGTGAAGTAGCTTATCGGTTAAAGCTACCTCATAGATTGAAGATCCACCCTACTTTTCATGTTAGCTTCTTGAAACAATTCAATCAAGAGGAGTTTGATGCTTCAATGCAGCAAACAAAGAGAGCCCATCCAACGATTAAAAGTGAAGTCGAGAAAAGCAAAGATTTGGGATCATTCTATTAAGGGTCAAAGCATAGTCACATGGATCGCTGTGCGATCTGGAATGCAGAACGAAAACGGGATTGCGGATTGCTAATATCTTAAATCCGATGAGTCAATTCCCCAAATAGAACTAAAAAGTGGCAAAATTGCACAAATAGGACTACATTGTTTAAATTCCCTTAATAGGACTATTTATGTGTGTTTGGACAAATATACTCTTGTAACTTTTGAAATGTTTTAATTAATAATAAAATCATAAAAAAAACGTAAAAAAATAATAAAAATCGTAAAAAAATAATACAAAATTAATAAAATATTTATAAAATAAATTAAATTAAAAAAATAAATAAAAAACGTAAAATTAAAAAAAATGTCACCCCTGCCAGCCCCAGCACCACCATCTCCCTTCACCGGAGAAAAATCTGTCAACATTTTAAATAATGCCATAATGATGGCATATTCAATGAAAATGTTGACATATTGAAAAGTAATTATGCTATCTTTTTGGCATTTTCAGAAAAAGATGGCATTTTTTTACCAAAAGTGGAAGAAATTTCACCAATCGGAGGTGGTGGTGCTGGGAGGTGGCGGGAGGCGGTGGGAAAGGTATCCATAATTTTTTAAATTTTTTTATGGGTTTTTACTATTTTGTTATTATCTTTTAAAAAAAATTTAAAAAAAAAAATATTTTATAAATATATTATTAATTTTTTATAATTTGTTTACGATTTTAAATATTTTTTACGATTTTTTAAGATTTTATTATGAATAAAAGCATTTCTTTATGAATTAATACCCTTGGGGGTATTTAGGGTAGAAAATCAATGTTTAGTCCTATTTAGGGAATTTATAAAGTTGTAGTCCTATTTGTGCTTTTTAGAAACTCATTTGTCCTATTTAAGACAATTTCCGAAATCTGATGTGCGGGGGGTAGGCTTCTTAGGTACACTGTCTCGCTACGCGGTACGTTGTACCTTTTATTATTGTACGGTGTACCATTAACATATACAATTTATAAATTACAAATATAATATTAATAATAACATTTAAACTACAATTTTTAATATCATCAAGAACTAAATCTGAAAAGTTAAGGGCCTATTTACTAACAGAGATATTTTCCTGTTTTCTACTTCTATTTTTCATTCTCCAATTTTCTGTTTTTATTTTTCAGTTTTTCTATCTCCAATTTTCTGTTTCTATTTTTTAGTTTTCCATTTTCAAATTTGAAAACATGTTCATCAATTTTTTCACATAGTTCTCCAATTCCACACCCTTGACCCCTAGCTTTACCCGTACCACGATCTTATGTGGGTGGGGGCATGTGGTGGGGGTGGGGTAAGGTCATTATAGGGAAAAATGGGTACGCGGGGTGGGGGTTGGGTGGGTAGGGTAGGGTAGGGGTAAGGGGTAAGGTACGAGGATGGAGGTGCCGGAATGGAATCGACATCGGAGCGGGACCGGACCCACCACTAGGTGTAAGTATGCAAATTCATTGCAAAGGCACTGTATCATCTGCGTTTTCCAAATTTGGAAAACTAGTAAAAGTCATTTCTCCAAATCATTAAGGAAAAGAGAAACATGTTTCATTTTTTCCGTTTTGGAAAACGATTTGGTAAACGCGTTTTTCTTTTTTCCTTTCTCCAGTTTTCCAAGAATTTCTTTGGTAAACACGTTTCCAGTTTTCTGTTTTCCAGTTTTCTGGAAAACTGGAAAATATTTCTGTTAGTAAACAGGGCCTAAGTTTTCAGGTAATAGACTAATAGTACGATAAAGTATTCAATATAAATAAGTAATAAAAAATTGCAGCTCCTTAAAAAAATAAGCTCTTAAAAATAGAATACGCTCCTTAGTCCAAGACAAAAGAAGGAAAGATATAGTCCAACCATCCAGTCAATTGACCCACAAAATGAGAGAAAGTGAGAAACAAAGAGAAATAGAGAACGGCTTTTAACTTTACCAAAAAAAGAATGGCTTTAAGAGAATGGCTTTTAAGTAACTTTACCAGACGTCGATCTAAAATACCGAAGAATTAAAACCACGAAGCAAGCAGTATGCGTCGATTACAAGCGATCAGAGTCGGCGACCAGTTTCAGCAACCATCGACGGCGATGGCGACCAGCTACAGCGATGGCGACAACAACCATCGTACCAAAGTCGCGACCCAGACGCGTGCGGTTCGCTACTGTACCGTGATCCGGAACACAGATCGTGGCATGTCTAGCGATTTCTGTAACTATGACTCATGTCTGAATGGGAAAGCTGGTTTTGGGTTAACTGATGCCATGGCTGAATGGGTGGCATTAGCAGTTGACGGTTACAACTGCCAACCATTTGTAAAGTCACGTCCCTTTAAACTAGCCGGCTAGGCAATTGGCTTGTGGCTGTCGGACTTGGTCAAGTCGAATAGACCATGCCATAACAAATTTTATATTCTTGAGTTGGTAATACAAGGTTGGTCTTGGACCGTAAAGTGTGTGTGTCTTAAATATTTTTTCAAGTGTTCAAACGTCCCTAAACACTAAGTGAGCGTGTTTGTGAGTAATGATGACTATCTTAAGTGTTAAGATAGGCCGTGCACGAGTGAAATCTCAAAGTAATGAAATTTACAGTGTAACACTTACCAACATGATTAGTTGCAAATTGCAATTCAATGTTGTCCTGAGAGAGCATGAATGGCGGAGCCATAATCCCTGCGTTGTTACTTCAAAAGCAAATGTGGTTATTATTTCTTTCTTTGCACTAATTCAAGAATCAAGTTCGTAAACTTTAGATAAAAAAATTATTGAAAAAGTGCATGTACATATTGGATGGTGAGTACGTATAAACAATCCAATTTCAAAGCATGACTGGAAAAACTCAAGTTTGAATTACAACTGAAAAGGATGACATTTGGTTACAGAACGCTAGATAGATCTCATGATTCATTTCTACTATTGGTTCAACATAATCACAGCCTTGCCAAAGGGTGTCCGAATTTCATGTCTTAATCTTCTAAGAACCATACATGATACATCAGTCATAAGGTGGTGTTTTCTTCACCTTATTATTATTGTTGTTGTTGTTGTTATTTTGCTAATTTCTCATTCCTGTTGTAGTTAGATCATACTAGATAGGTTTGGTTCGAAACTTTTCATACTAAACAACACAAGATGTCATAATACAAACAAGAAAATTGAACAAGATGATAAACGATGAACAAGATTTCGTCCTAGGTCTAGAACAACAGGTGAACTCAGGTAGACAAATAGATCAATTTCATATCTATGATGAGCACAGAGAGAGAGAAATGGAAATAACAAGCTTTATCAAGACGCCCAAGAATTAATTCTTCCAAAAGTGCATTATTTATCAATACCGGGACTCAATCCTAATAGTAGGAACTAGGAACAAAATGGAAATAAGAAATTGACTAAAACTGAATAGGAAATAACAGTAACCTTGCTGCCCAAGTTTAGCCACTTTTGGTTTCCTCCGGTTCTGCTTGGCCCTCACCTGCACGAGTTGTGCTCCTTCGGCCCAAATGGCATCACTCATAGGCACGTCTCCAGAATGCATCCATAACATCACTTCACATGTTGACCATGAGCTTGTCCTCAAGCTCAAATGCAGGGTTAGCTGCCTGAAATGCCTCAATAGGTTCCCATGATCCTTCCTCTACTAACTGACCCTCCCAGTGGACCAATAGCTTCAACCGGCCACAATGCCAACAGCTGTGGAGGATGGCATCAAGTTCCAAAACCAGAGGGTTATCCTCTAGTGGATGACTGGATGTAACTGTCCCATTACTCCCATAGAAGCTGGTGGATGCTTGTATGGCCTGAGTAGGGGTACTAGCTGGCGGCAACTGCACAGTTTCCCCTACACGAGCTATGATACGGAATGGCCCATAGTACTTCAGTAAAAGTTTGTGATGGCACTGCGTCAAGGAAACCTGGCGATATGGGTGCACCCGAAGCCATACCCAGTTGTCGTGCTCAAAGGTCAAGTCCCGCTGAGATTTATCGAGCCTACTCCAGTCGGGTGTGAGCTGCAGACAAGAGTGAATCAAGATCAACGAGCTCGCGCTAGACTACGTTGAAGCATGTAGTGCATGGTAAATAGGAAAGAGGATATGGTGGATCCCGGATGTAGACCAATCGAAAGGGGATGTCCCCTAAAGTAGTATGGTAAGATGTACTTCCTCCGTTCCGCTGAGATTGTCCTATCTTTCTTTTTCGATCCGTCTCACTAAGACTGTCTCATACCAAATTTGGTAAAACTTGTGTGGTTCCTCGGCACTTACCTCATCGATAGGTGGTTCCATCCCGGGCATAAAAAAAACTCAAGGTGTGCAATGGATGCAGGCAATTTTTTTAGGTTGTTGAATGATTTTTGGAGTTTAGATAATTTTTCTTCAAACTGTATGAAGCAAAATGGCTCACCAAACTGTCCGCGCTTCTTTGTTATGAAGCAGCAGTCAGTCCATGCAATTTTGGACGTGATTTTCATTATGGGTCATCTAGAAACAGTCTCTCTGTGCTTTAGTACAGGGGTAAGACTGTGTACATCCGATCCCCCCTTACCCCACCGTAGGTGGGAGCCTTTGCGGCACTGGGGTAAATGATGATTGATTGATTTTGAGATAATTTTTCTTCAACATGAACTTGACACTGATTAGTGAACTTGATCATATTTTTCAGAGGTTCCATTGCTGCTAAATTTCCCACCATCATGCTTGATGTTGAAAATAAATTGTTATAAGTGCGTGAACAAGATCCTATCCAACAACGAAAGTTGACTAGGGTAGAGAGATAGGTCAATTTTCAAGACACCCAAGAACTAACTCTTCCAAAATCCAACCTAGTCATGGCATCCAAGAACTAATTCCTCCAAAGGTGCTTTATTAATCAAATGTTAGGGTCCCTTATATAGCTATCATAAGATACCTAACTCAAATAGAAACATAATGGTAATAAAAACCTATTAAAATTGAAATAAAAATAGCAATAGTATTATGATTAGGAAACTAATAATAATTAAAATAACAATAATCTTGTTGTCCAAGTTTAGCAACTTTCGGTCTCCTCCCGTTCTGCCTAGGCCAAACATGCACACACTATGCTCCTTCATTGCAACTGGTGACATTGATAGACACAGACACAAAATGCATCCAAATCATACAAACATAGAAAACGGATTAGACTAGAAAGATTCAGACCAGATCTTTAACATTTTTTATCAAAAACAACATCAAAGTCTTAGTTCCAGAAGCGTTTACGGTTGGCTAACATGAATAGATCGACATATAAAATTGGAGATGGGATGGGGGGTGGGATGAGATGAGATGAAGATAAGATTAAAAAAAAGATACTATAGAAATGATAAAAACACAACGAAGAAAAGAAAGATAAAGGATGTTTTTACTTGGACTGTAATTTGCTGGTATGGTCTGGTAAGGTCTGGTTTCTTTGTATTTTTATAATTATCCAAGTCTTGTCTGGTCTGGTCTGGACTGGTCTGGGACAAATTACAGTCCAAGTAAAAACATCCAAACAAGAAAGAAGATAAAAAGATAAAATGAGATCAATCATCCACACGTATATTATTCCTCCACTTCGCTCTCTCAAAAGTCATACTCACATTCAATCCAAGAAGTGCCATATCATTCATGACCCCTCTAATCCACATTTATTTGGGTCTTCGTCTCCCTCTCCTCACCACTTCTTCTCCCCACCTCTCAACTTGTGTAACTGGTGCATCACTCGGTCTTCTACACATATGGTGTCAAATCATCGCAATTGAGATTCTCGCATCTTATCTTTTATAGGTGCTACTTTCACCTTTACCTAATTGTCTTATTCTTCAAGCGGTCTTTCTAGTATGTCAACACATCCATGTGCATACTCTACATCCACTTTGCTGTCTCAAAAGTCATACTCACATCCAATCCAAGAAGTATCATATCATTCATGAGTCATGACCCCTATAATTCACATTTATTTGGATCATCCTCTCCTCCCCACATCTTCTACCCACCTCTCAACTTGTCTAATTGGTGCATCACTCGGTTTTCTACACATATGGTGTCAAATAATCGCAATCAAGATTTTCACATCTTATCTTCAGTAGGTGTTACTTTCACCTTTTACCTAATTGTCTTATTCTTCAAACGGTCTTTTCTAATATGTCCACACATCCAACGCAACATATGCATCTCTAGTTCTCTGCCACACTCATCATTTGAAGGTGATATTATTACACCGCCCAACACTCTACACCACACAGTAATGTAGGCCTAGTTGATGTTCAATAAAACTTACCATTCAATTTAGTCGACATACCTCGATCACATAGAAATCTTGACACACTCTTCCATTTTATCCACCCTATTCTAATTTTATTGGATACATCTCCATCTAATTCACCATCTTTCAGAACTATGGAGCATAGGTAACGGAATATATGATTGATTGGTGTCTCCTTATGGTCTAAGGTAATATCACTGTTATCGTTGCTTCTACATCTACTAAACTTGCACTCCATATAATCAGTTTAGCTTTGACTCAGCCTGAAATTCCTATTCTCTAGAATTTATTGCAATACTTCTAACTTCGCTTTGACACTTGATCTTTAGAAAAACGTATGTGGCCTGTGTCAAATCTGTAACTTCATCTTCACAATAAAGGTTATTATTGTAGTCTTGTAGAAGGGATTGTTTAAGACGTGACTTAATATAAGATCATTATTATCAATAGACAAATCCAAGAGCTCATGAAATTGTAAATGATTTTTTATATATGCAGTGGACATAGATCCCACCCGATAGAATTTGTGAATCATTGTCTTACATGAGGAGGTTCAAGGGTAGACCGGAGGAGTCATATTCGGAACAAAACTTTCTAATAGATTCCATGGAGCTAAGATCCAATTCCATGACATCAACTTTGGCATTAGGAATCTGTTTAGCTATACTTCGTTGTACTTCTTTACCGCTTTCCACATTGCGAACTGCAATAATTACATGTACACCACGCAAGGCAAGGACACGGGCAGTCTCTACACCAATACCACTTGAGGCTCCTGAAATATGCAAAGATGAGAACTGATATTAGTTTGGAGCGGAGCTAGATACAAATACCCTTCTACTACAATTAGTTTGTATTCAAAAGTTCAAAGCATAATGAGTGCATGGTAGACACTAGTGGCGTTTTCTTCTTATGAAGAAATAAATCAACCATATCAGCTGAATAACCCTTACAGGACAGGTGATGTGAATACGGCAGGGCAGTAACTTTGTAATGATTTGCATCAAGTGTAGTGAGCAGTTGCGAGACACTAAGTGTACTAAAAACAATTTAGACCATCAATGACAAACTCTGAAACTAAATGAAAAACAAAATCTCTAAAAAGGAGTTATCAAAACTCAAGGCTCCGTGTAGTGGCATCAGAATATATGGATATGGAAAAATAATTATTCTAACAAAACAGAAAAACTGAACTGTTTTAAGCAGATGAATTCCTCTCCTAAAAGAGGAAGTCATTTACAAGCAACAAAAACATGAAATAGAAAGAGTTATTTGACTATGTGCCTATTTGGTGATACAGGAAAGATCCAGTTCTCCAAAAACAAAATGGAGTCTAACCTATGGGGTAAATACTTCATTACCCCAAGTAGAGATTTTGATTATTATTTTTATTGATCAATTTAACAAAGAATTAAAATCAATTTATTAAAAAGCAAACATATCTCTTAATTTCATTATTTCTAATGCTATTACTATGTATTATTTATCATTTATTAACCAATAAACTCATGAGGATTGGGCAAGAATAATAGTAAGACCTAGGGTTCCACATAAAAATCTTATATATTAGTTACTTGATTTAACACTAATACCATATTAAGAGTTGGGTTTCATTTAAAAGGTTAACTTGATGTTACTTTATTATTTTATATGTAGCGGGTGTCAAACAAGTAATTAACTCTGCCACTCTAGCTAAAACATTGAATCTAGTCCATAAGTCTTATGAACTCATCCTTTTGTTTTCAACATTGCAAAATATTGTCATGCGGACTCTAACAGTTTAAATATTTATCAAAAATTATAAACATATTATCCAGAACAAACCAAGACTAACATCTGTTTCTTCCAAGACATCATGGCATATAAGTGCACTAAAACTAAATAGAAAAACAAGACATAAAATATTTCCTTCACTTTGTTGTTATTTAGAAAAGCATTAAGATAGAAAACATTTCCCTCAGTAAAGAGGGATGTTTACTTATCTCGTGTATAAAGATATGAAACAAGATATAAGGCATTAACTAAAGTATAATATCAGAGTGAAATAGTGAATTAAGTTTAAACTAGCACTGAAGTCTAAACAAAATTAAGCTAGACTCGATAGCGAACACGGTCCTCAAGATTGGTTTTAAACTAGCGTTGAGCGAAAAGAACACTCCACACAAAAAATAACTTCAATATCTCAACAGAAGACTAAGGGACCTGTAACGATGGCAGTAAGGCCGGTTCCATCTATTCCTTGAGTAACTTCCTCGGCCGTTGATGAACCGGAGAAACCAGATAGCCCTCTCCTTCCAAATATCCACATTTTTTCGCTACCAGATTAAAAAAAAAAACTAATCAAAATCAAAACATTATATCGTACTTTCGGTGAAGTCCGGGCCAAATTACCAAAATTGGTATAGAAAAGGGTCTCTTACCAGATTTGTAAAAACAAAATCATCTCACTTAAATTGGCAAAAAAACGCTTGAGTGTCAATTTTTTGAGTGAGATACTTTTGGTCCTCGATTATAGAATTCCCAACATTTCCGGTCCTTCTTAGGCGTGGATCGGGACCGGGACCGGGACGGAACTGGGCGGGGCTGGGGTTTTGGGTTGCAGGCCCAGCACCGCGCCGGGTCGAGTTTATATTTTTTTTAAATGGATTTTAAAATTAATTCCTACGCCCACCCCACGCCCCAAACCACCCAGCCCCACCTACCTAGCCGCAGACCAAATCCAAAAAGAAAGAAAAAATTAAAAACAATGGCCCGAATCGGTCCCGGACCAATCGGGCCGGTCACCATTTTACCAGTCCCGTAGCCCGCCCCCTAATCCCAGTTCAGGCCCCATTATCGGTCTCGATACCGCCCAGCGGACAGGGTCGGGCCTGCACAGTGGCGGGGCGGGGCGGGGCGGGCCGACCCAGTCCATCCCGGATTTTGTCATCAAAAGGTCAACGGATTCCGTTAAGTTTTTTACTAACCGCTTTCATTAGTGGTTTAAAATGAATTGTTAGTGACTTAGTGTTAGTAATTACTTTTTAAGATGTAAAATGATCATTATATATATGACTTGTAAAAAGTTTTAAATTTTTTATTTTCGTTTATTTTAAATAATTACTACCACTATCATTTTTTCAAGACTTATTAAAACTCAAAAAATAAAGTTAAGTTAAATATATATACTTCTACATTCATATCCTTAATGGTCATTTTACATCTTAACATTTAATCGCAAATAGTTAAGTTACTAACATTTTGGTTCAAACCGCTAATGAAAGTGATTAGTTAAAAAAGTTAACAGAATGGAGTAGATTTTTTAGAAATTAGTAAATAATCATATTTAAAATATTAATACTAAAAATATATGAATTTATATGTGCGTGCTCGCATTAATTTACATATGTTAAAAATGATAGTGTTAGTGGTTATTTAAAATAAATGTAAATATAATTTTTAAAACTTTTTCCAAAAATTATTAAAATTAAACGAAATAAAATTTAATTAAATATATAAACTTTTAAATTCATATCCTTAATGGTCATTTTATGTCTTAAAAACTAATTGCAAACAACTAAATTACTAACACTTTATTTCAAACTGCTAATGAAAGCGTTTGGTTATAAAAGCTAACGGAATCCGCTAGTATCAATCTGCTGATTCAACCACATATTAGTTAGCAGACAACTACTATTATCAAATACGACCGTTGACATTTTGCGTCATTTCATTTTGATGACAAAATCAAAGCAGAAGAACTGAAAATGTCAATCTCACAATACTTAATATATGAAGTGTGGGTAGTTCTAAAATTGAGGACCAAAAGTGTTTCACTCGAAAAAATTGATCAATTTGTCAACGGGACTTCTTTATTTTACCAATTTGCCTGAAATGGTTTTTTTTTTATCAATTTGATAAAACATTCTCTCTCTTTTACCAATTTGGTAATTTGGTCGTGAAGTCTACGGTGTATGACTTTGATTTATTGAAGAAGAAGACGAGAAATACCTAGTACATATACGTTCTTTAATCTTTATGATTAATTAATAATAGGAGTACATATACCAAATTGCTGAGGAGTGAAGTGTAGAATGTGGGCGAGGCATTTCACCCCTCAATAATCACATTTATAGCAATTTGGGCAATTGAGGTGTGACATTTACAATCTCTGAAATACGGGTCTGACAATTCAATATGGTGACTATTTCAGCGATTAAAAGTGTAATTTCCCTTAATAATATTATTTCAGTCCCATAAGGCCATAAATTTGGGAGTTATTAAGAAAAGTAAGTTTATGTGGTTGATATTGAATTGAAAAAATAAAAATAAAGTAAAAATGATTTAGAGTCACATAAACTTTATCAAATTTGGCATGAGGCAATCTTAACGGGCCGGATGGAATATATGGGATTAAACACGAGGGAAATTCTAAAACATGGAGTATTTCCCCCCAAGTATCCCCACTTCACTACTCCAGTTACTTTGAGACGTCCTTCTTAAACAAGAAGATGATTTGTAAAGTAAAAGGTTTTCTCCAACGTTCCTTCGTACAAGAGATGTGTAGATGAAGCTATTGAAGTGTTAAAGAACTAGAGGAACTTTTTTCTCTTGTTGGATAGTGAGGTATGAAAATATAGTTTTATCCAACGTCAAGCTTTTTCTTGTTGAAGGTGAGGAAGATGAGGTCTCAAGAATTTGCTTGTTTGAATTTGTTCGTAGAGAGTAAGTTATCCGGGCAGTCCTTCGAGGTGTATCTTATATACTGTGAGATGTCTTCCCGTTGGAGTTGTAGAAGACGGCTTCATTAAATGCTTGTACTGTTGATTTGACCGGTTGGACCCAAAAAGTAGCCGACTTGCTTTTTGGGGCGTATTAAATAATATTCGCCTAGATCCTTGGTCAGTCATCAGTTTTAAATATCTCGAGGAGTGGAGCTAATTAAATGGGCATTAAATACACGTCCAGTAGCTTTTCCGTTAGGAGGCTCCTCGCTCTCCGAAGCATGACCAAGAAACTCATCCCCTGAATATAACTTTTTCTCGGCAAAAGCATCATCACATTCAAAGTTTAGAGAGCATTGAATACCTGTAACAGTCTCTGTTGGAATGTTTACCGCTTGAGAAGCACATTCTTTTACCCCTTCATTTTGTCTCTTGTCTTAATAATCACAATTTTCCAAATAGGATAAAATAATTTTTTCGGATTCTTTAATAAGAAAATGGGACAATGAGTCAACCCTCCAGTCATAGTTGTCTGGAAAAAATCCCTAATTTTTGCAAGAGAAGAGTCTGATGATAGTTGAGAACAAGAATGTTCCTCGACCAATATCGGAATATTCTCACAAGAGACAGATTGCTCGATATCAACTCCTAACAATGGACCTGAAATAGAGTAGTCATTATGTTTGGAGTCATCACTATTGGAATAGAGATCTCATTCAAAGACCACCATACTTGAAGAGGCCTCGCTTAAATCCTGTTTAATTTTAATGGCTGGTTGATTAACAGCAAAATCCCGCATCAATTTAATTGCTCTTGCAAGTCCTGACAGAAAACATTTAATCCCCATTCCAACCTCCTGGTATAAATATAGAATTTCCCGTTAGTTTAACTGGATGAGGTAGCACGGGTAGATTTCTCTAAGTGTCAGGGCTTCTGGTGTACCTTCTGAAAGATGCCAAGTCCATGAAGAGTAAGGGAGCAGTTCTGTCCAGCCAGGGTAACAGAGGACCTGGGGTTTTCTGTCCAGTTGAATACAGTGTACACTAGTACATACACTTAGAAAACTTCTAATACAAAATTTCTAATAGGGGTACTCTAATATCCTAATCAGTCTAGCATCATCAAAATCTAAGTACAATTATTCCTTACAATATTAAATACATACTCCCTCCGTCGGTAAAAGGTTCGCCAAAATGACTTTTCTTGGTCAATGACAATCAACTTTGACCAATGATATTTTTTATTACGAAATTATTTTGAATATGAAAAATATGTCAAAATGATCCTTATTCAAAAAAAATCATAAAAGTATAAATTTTATAAATCATATACAAATATAATAATTAAAGTCATTAGCAAAGTTTACCATCATTGACCAAGAAAGTTAATATGGTAAACCTTTTTGGGTCGGAGGTAGTATATAAAAATTATATCATGATACTAAAAGTGGTGTTTAAGAGCTAGATAAATAATCTAGACTCTGTATAAAAGGTAATTTTTTTACTCATTGATGTAACTTTAATATAATACGATTTGGTCATAAATTTCAGATAATTTTTTCGTTTCTAAATGTGGAACATCTTTACTTTTTTTATTGCATAGTTTTACATGTTTATGTTTTGGCTATTATTTATGACTTGACATGAGAATCTTTTTATAGATTTAATTCAGTTGACCTTCTAGGTAAAAATTGCATACTAAGAGTCTAAATCTTTGCTACATTTCTTTGTTCAATAACACTTATTTTAAATCAATCTTATGACAAATAAATCGACCTCTACCGACCGCTGCCATCACCTTCATTAAAATCGGAATGTCACAAAACTATATATTCTGAACTATTTTCTTAAAGAACAAGATAAAAGGACTAATTTGCTCAATTCTAAATTCTAGAAGGGCTAATATCTTCAAAAAATGACCACATCCATTATTAAATAAATAAATAAATCATAAAAACGTCTAGTTATTAGTCTTGAAAAAACAATAAGCTATAGATGAAATTTAATGGATAAAATAGGCATTGAGCAATTTTTTTTCTGTTTAGATAAAGAAGGTTGAAATACGAAGTTCATTTAGATGCAACAAGAAATATAAAAAATTGGCTCTTTTAACTTGATAATGTAGACTGCCAACATATTTAGATAATTAGTTTTAAAAAAATAAGACATACTCAATAAATAAGAGTAATAGTTATCAACCAATGTTATAATCGACTAAATAAGTGACTTTCCGTATGTTCTAATAACTCAATCTTATGAGAGAAATGAGAACGAATCTGGACAGTTAGATTTGCTTCAAGTGAAATTCAGTGTGCATTAGATGAAACTGTAATGTGCATTGGGTGAAATTGAAATGTGCATCGCAAAGGGTACGATAGAGTGGGATTATGTGCAGTTGAATTGTCATTACGTGAAATTGAAATGTGCACTAGGTGAAGCTGAAATGTGCAGAATAAAAAGTACGATGTGATGTTATTTTTGTACTTTTTTCGCACATATCAGTTTCATCTAATGCACACTTGAGTTTAAATTTTTATTTTGCACATTTCAATATCATTTAATGCACATTTCAGTTTCACCAAATGCACAATTTGGTTCCACATAATACAATTT